TGTATATATATGGTTCAGCGTCGAGCGTCCTGGGCCCCCCCCCCCCCCAAGCCTACTCTACGGTCCCTAAACCCTAAACCCTAAACCCTAAACCCCTAAACCGTAAACCCTAAACCCTAAACCCTAAAACCTAAACCCTAACCCTAAACCCTAAACCTTAAGTCTTAAACCTTAAACCCTAAACCCTAAAACCCTGAACCCTAAACCCTAACCCTAAAACCAACCCCCAACCACACCACAGGGGGGGGGGATCATCTTAGTACCCCATCCGCGGGGAAAACCCTAAACCCTAAACCCTAAAACCCTAAACCGTAAACCCTAAACCCTAAAACCCTAAAACCCTAAAACCCTAAACCCTAAACCCTAAACCCTAAACCCTAAAACCCTAAAACCCTAAAACCAACCCCCAACCACACCACAGGGGGGGGGGGGGGGATTGGGGGGGGGGGGGGGGGGGGGGGGGGGGGGGGCCCGCCGGGGCTGAATCATATATTTACTGTTTTTTTTTTGGGGGGGGTTTAGGGGGGGTTTCTTAAGCCAGCAATAGATAAGTGGTGACCCAGCAGGAAATGGGGTACTCGGAGGTGTCGTGCATGAGAAGTTCTCCTCAGCATGCGCTGCGTCATTCCTTATAAGGGCAGTAAAGGGGATGATTCATTTTAGGGTTTAGGTTTTAGGGTTTAGGGTTTAGGGTTTAGGGTTTAGGGTTTAGGAACCAGTAGGTTGTTGGGCCCATGCCAGGAGCAGTGGGTCGTGATCCTCTACTTCATCTTCGTCATCGCATGGGTGCCGCCCTCAGGTTCTCGAGTTCAGCGCCCCTAAAACTCCGAACCCCTAAATCCTAAAACCCTCAAACCCGAAAACCCTACTATAGAACCCTAAAAACCCTGAAACCCTTAAACCCTACTATGCAACCTGAAAGCCCTAAACGCGGGAACTCCCAAAGCTCGGCCTCTCCAGCCCTTTGGTTGAAATTTCTGCGAGTCAGGGCACTGTACAGCTGCGCGGAATGCGGTAACGCCTCGTCTCGTGGAGGACCACGTGAGCAGTGAACGTTAGGGTATGGGGTTTAGGGTTTCGGGCTTTAAGCCCCAAACCCTATAAACCTTAAAAACCCTATAAACCTCAAAAAAACCCTATAAACCTTGAACAAAAACCTGAACCCTAAACTTTTGCGGACGCTTGGTGGCTCATCACCGGAGCTTCTGAGCTTCTGACATTCAGGGTTTAGGGTTTAGGGTTTAGGGTTTAGGGTTTAGGGGTTAGGGTTCAGGCTCAAGGCCTAAACTTCTCACGAGAATTGTTTTTGGAAGCTCCGGCTGCGAATATTATTTTTGTTTGTTGTTGGGGTGGGGAAGGTTCACAAGGTTTAAGAGTTTAGGGTTCAGGGTTTATGGTTTATGATTTAGGGTTAGATTTAAGGTTGGAGCTTTTGAGCTTTGGCCGGATGTAGGGGTTCAAAAGCTTCAAGTTCGTTTGTTGGGGGCTCCAAAAGTCGAACATGGTGTAGGGTTTAGGGTGTAGCGGCTCAAAACACCTCGGTATCTTCTTCTTGTTCTGGGTTCCCTTGTAAAGTAACCAGCTCAAAAAAGAGGGCACCCCTTCTTGAATATGGTTACTAGGCTACTAAGAAACAAGGTTGAAGAGGTTTGAAGGTTGAGGGTTGAAAGCAGCAAGGTGCCTGAAATTATTCAGGGCCTGGTTTCTGGGTTTGAGAGTTAGGGCTTCGGTGTGTATGGAGGGTTTAGGGTTTAGGGTTTAGGGTTTAGGATTTAGGGTTTAGGGTTTAGGGTTTAGGGTTTAAGCCCAAGATTCAGGCTCTCGAGCTGGTCCACAACATGACGCAGTACATCATCGCCTTCGTCTCGCAGAGGCCTTCGTTCCTTCAAGCTCCTCAACATCGGGGGCTTAAGTACTAGAGGAGTGGGGTTTAGGGTTTAGGGTCTAGAGTTTAAGGTTTAGGGTTTAGGGTCTATACGAAAGAGTTCTGGTAGAAACAGCTAGGAAGTAGTCCCTGCATGCCAGTATTATGAGATTCGTCTGTGTGGATTGCTTTGAAAGGAAACCAGAGTAAAAGATTGCAGTTCCTTTATTATGGTCTTCATGTTTGAGAGAAAATGGAGACGCAATTTGGGACACAGTCGAGAACATATGAGATGAACTTTGAGAGCCACGGGACGGCCTAGGTGTCCGGGAGGTTTTCATTAACTTGTTACTGTGCGCACCGCTCTGTGTGTGTGTGTGTATGTGTGCGCGCATTTGTTCTGTGCGAATTTATTACTCCAAGGGCCCGTGTCTTTTGTAGTGAGTTTGCGTGCATCGAAAAGATCTTGTTTACGCACGCATATTAGTAGTATTACAGGCGCCCTTTTCAGACGAATGAAATTAATACGCCTGTGTGTTCATAGTGTTCATGCGTTCTTCGTTCACTCAGTTGGCGCTTATTATAATATAGTTCATGCTTTCATTGCAAGCATATTATAAGCACGTACACGTGAAGAGAACACCATAAACAGTTTAAAACCCCCCATTGCGTTTGCAATGCAATGGTGTTGCAACCCTGAACTCTAAAAACCCTAAAGTTGGGATATTCCCCCTTATACTAACAGTCCTTAATAGGGATGTTAGTACACCCGATTATGATCCCTATTAGACTGTTTGTATAAGGGGAACATCCCTGAAAGCGGCTCCCCTAAAGAGTCAGGGATCTGCGTGCATGACGGAACCCAAAAAGAAGTTACTGCTTTGGGGACCGAATGACTCCCCAAAGTGAAGTTTAGGGTTTTTAGGATATGGACCACAACCCTGTTAGGGTTGGGGAACTAATTCCAAAAGGTGTCACCCAGACATTGCATGGCGCACTCAAATACAGCGTCTTGCGTTTGTGCACATCCATAGTGCCCTAAGGGTGTCTTTATGGTTCCTGCGGCATTCGAACACTGTGATTTGAGAACCCTGGTCCAAACCTTGCCAATGAGCAACTCCGCACGTTTAATGATTGCAGGTGTGAGGGTTTCAGTGTTTCGGTGTACGGCGTCGTCTTGTAGGAGTTCCGTGAGACCCAAACCCCAAAGCCACCTTTGACATTAGTAACGCAAAGTCCTTTTGGGCACACAGCGGCCCTTCTCGAGTCTCGAGAACCTCTGAGCTGACGTGATGTTCGCGCCAAGCAAACCCACGACCTGGAGCCCAACTCACTTTGGGTCCAAGACCGAGAATTGTAAATCACCCTGGCAATAAAGCCTCACTACTTGGAGGTTCAGGGTACTTAGTAACCTAATGATAACTGTACTGATCACCCAATTATCAAACCCCATTAGGGACTCGAGGGGCTTATAAGTGGGATATAGTTTTAACTACATTTTAAAATTGGTTACTAAGCACCTTGAACCTCCAAGATGGCCTTTGACCCGCTTCATAGAAGTGCCAAGTAGGGCCTACAACCTAGACCCTCGGCCCGTTTAGGGTTTAGGGCTTGGTGTTTAGGGTTCAGGGTTGTTTAGGCCCTAATAAAGGTGGTACTTCACCCCGTACGTGGACGATCAGAAGATGGACGTGCCGCAACCTGGACCAAAGAAGAGCTTAGGATCTCGGGAAAAACAAGGGGAGGGGGTTCAGGTCCTGGGACACAGCAGGTTCCCTTACCAACACCACCAAAATCCGAATAATCCTTAAACGCGCCAGCGGCTGGAGCATGAGCGTCAAAGCTCCAAATCCTTGCACCCCCAATGCCCCCTCAATTGTGATACAGTCCCCGCTTCTTCAAAAACAAACCAAAGACTCTAAACTGTAACCCTTCTTTTTTGTCCCGGCGGTGCAGTGCGCCACATCCTCAACACGACCCTGAACCTTAACTCCTAAACCCTAAACCCTATAAACCCTCTACTCTGCCAAGCCTTCTTTTCCGGGTGCTGGGATCGGGGTGGCGGGGGTGGGGGTTGGGGCGGGGGGGCCCCGGCTCAGTCGGATGCTGTGTGAGATTATTGAGGGTTGCTTGGTGAGCGCAGGCCTCAATTGAGCTACAGGGCATGCCCAGGAGTAGTCGTAGTTGAAAGTCGCATGGCGTCTATCGACAAGTGTTGCTACTGAGGGGTGGTGGTTGGGGTCCAATTTGATGATCGTCCTTTCGGATGAACATCGTGTGCTCGCGTGGCCCTCTGAAATCGTCCCGGAAGTGCGTTCGCTTGGCGGGTGGCAAACAACCCTCAGCTGTGAGCCCTGACCCTAAACCCTGAGCCCTACCTAGGCAGCTCTGCCTAGTCATGGAGGCCATCTGGAACACTTTCCGCCCGAGCCCCAGGGGCACATGAAGCTGCATGGCAAACTTCAAGCCGCAAACCCTAAAACCCTAAACCGCACCTCGGCCTATCTGGAAAGCCCGGCAGGATGTATTGCTGTCTGGGCTTGTTCTAAGGCTTCCGTACAGGGATGTATCGTTGGGAAAAGAGCCGCTATTCCCTAAACCCTAAACCCCTAAACCCCTAAACGCTAAACACTAAACCCTAAACCCTAAACCCTAATCCCTACCCTAACTACCTTATGTCTTCCGGCACGAGAAAGTTGTGGCAAGTTTTCCCATGCCCGTTTAGGGTTTAGGGTTCAGGGTTCAGGGTTCAAAGTACGTAAAAAAGCAAATTCAAGACCCTTGGTGATTTGTGGGAAGGTACTTTGTTTTTCTTTGCCTTAAACGGGCTACCCTGCAGCCTTTTCGTTTTCAACCTCAACACCCTAAGCCCTAAACCCTAAACCCTAAACCCGAAACCCTAAACCCTAAAGCCTTAGCTCCCTAGGCAAGCTAGGCTGCCGTCACGGGCAGGGTGGACAGGCGGACACCCCATTTGGCACGGAGCATCTTGAAAGCCCAGGAGTGCTATCACCGCCCGGATGCAGCAACGGTTTAGGGTTTAGGGTTTAGGGTTTAGGGTTAAATGGCTACGGCTCAAGTTTGGCTACGAGACCCAAATGGGTAAACATTAATTCGTGATCTGCCTCGAGCTGCAATGGATGCTAAACTGGCTGCGTGTTTAGGCTACTCTGTCAGATTGGCAACACGATGTGGATATATGGAGCTCCTACCACATCTTCAACAGGCTTTGTTTGCACTTGTTTCCTGTGATGCACATGTTGATTCGGCGGCAGTCCCCCAAGAATCCCGCAGGCGAAGAACAATCTCTTTGTTTCAGGCTCTTCATCCTGATGGCAGTGATGTACCAAATGCTCAATATGCTCAGGAGGTGAAACTCGTTGACGCCCCGCAGCGACTCCTTGCAGATGCGGAGGCGCAGACATGTGAGGACATCATTTCTGCAGGTGAGTGCACCATGATTGTGGACAAGATTATGGATCAAGCGAAGGCATCTGCGGTGGCACTTGAAGAACGCTTGCGCCAACTGGAGGCCGACACATCGGATCACTTCTTGCCCACGGCCAGCTCCATTGATTCACCTGGCACTGCGGCGTGTTCTTCAGTTCCTCATGGCCTGACGATGGCATGTGACGTTCACAGGCCACAAGCCTCACGATGCCCAGGCGTGCGTGCTAGGATTCCTGACCATGACCTTGCGAGTTTGAAAGCCCAACACATCGAGCTCCGCCGAGCAATGAAAGCACAGCGAAGACTGGAACGACAAGCCCGTGAACAGCAAGGGCTGCCTAGTCACAGCTTGAACTTGTGAAGGAGGTCTTGCGTAATTCTTCCGATCAGTTGCATGCTTTTGCTTGATTTCTCATGAATAGCTTGAGGGATCCCTGCTTCTCTTGAAAACCTTGAGATGGTTGCTCCAATTATCAGATGCAAGTCACTGCGATTTCCTGACCATTCCCGGCCGACTCCCCAAGCCCGGATGCAAAAGGGTTTAGGGTTCAGGGTTCAGGGTTCAGGGTTCAGGGTTTTGGTTTAGAAATTCGTCCGAGTTTTTGAACAGTCAGGGGGTATAGAGGTAGGGTACTTACGAGGTGAGCCGGTTGTGCCCCCTTGCTTGGGAGACTAAACCCGACACTTGAATGCTGAAGTGACGCACACAGAACAGGTCCAGGGCGTAGGTAGGGCCTAGAGTGCAGGATTGTTGTCACAGTCTTTTCTGTCGGGGCAACTAGAACTAGATCTGGTTGCGACCCGATTTAGAACTGCTGTATACGTACAGGTGCCCCGAAGCCTTCAATGTAGATGTGGGTGTACGCCTTTTGGGTTGGACTGGGCCTCGGGTTGAAGCAGAATGATAGTAGAGAAGGTTGGGGATTCTTGTGAAGACATGCAGCTTGATGGAGAAGGGCAGCCCAGAATCCTGAGCCTAGGTATCCTAAACGGTTTAGGGTTTAGGGTTTAGGGTTTAGGGTTTAAGGTTTAGGGTTTAGGGTTTAGGGTTTAGGGTTTAGGGTTTAGGGTTTAGGGTTTAGGGTTTAGGGTTTGGGGTCCACAGCTTTCATGAGCCACGCGACTCTGCAGCAGTTCGATGCATAGCTCCGACATTCCTGCCCAGGTTACCATCTCGGGTCCACGATTTTCGGGTCTTTCCTGAAGACCCTCTTGAGAGGAGGGGGCTGGAGGGTTAGGGTTTAGGGTTTAGGGTTTAGGGTTTAGGGTTTAGGGTTTAGGGTTTAGGGTTTAGGGTTCGGCTCCGGGCTTTCTGTTGGGCCTTTTTTTGGTTGGTACGTCGATAGCGTTTCGCCAGAAGGGGTCAGTGGCGAAGTGAATGAATGGAGATGCATGTATGCCTATGACAGTGTGTGCCTATAAAACAACATGTGTATAAATATATATATATATATGTATGTATATAAGGTGTGTAAACTGGTTTTCGGGTTTGTTAGTGAGGCATGCGGCATCCGGCGTGTTCTGCATGTTTTTTTTTTGCTGTGTTTGCTCAACCCTAACTAAACCTTTTTCGTGTGTGGGGTGCGAAGGGAAGATGCCTCCAGGACAACAAGAACTAGTTGGGGGTTTCCGAAAATTAGGGGCACCTTATTGGGGTCCTAATGTATAAGGGCATCCTACCATCTGGGGGTCTAGTATAGGGAGCCCTAAACCCTAAACCCTAAACCCTAAACCCGAAACCCTAAACCGTTGTTCTTGGGCTTTCTAGGATTCGGTTCCTCAGAAGCCCTCAGGCATCCTGGCTTTTTATGACTCGGCTGCTTTCTTTGGGCCCTAGCAACGGTCTCTCACAACTCAAAAAAAAACCTATTCCCAGTCTGGAAATTCAGAACCCTAAGCCCTCAACCCGTAAACTCTAAACCCTAAACCCTGAACCCTACCCCTAAACCCCGGTTTAGGGCTTTAGGTCCCTGAAGCATTCACTCCAAAGACCCCAAATCCTTAACTTTCATTGCTTCGGTTGGTTTAGGGCTTTCAGTCCCTGAACGCTGATGCCCTAAACCCTAAATCCTAAATCCTAAATCCTAAACCCTAAATCCTAAACCCTAAACCCCTATATAAGCCCCTAAACCCCTGAACCCCTGAACCCCTGAACCCTGAAAGCATTCTGGGCCGGTGCAGTTCCAAAGATGATCGCCTACGTGATCTTCCTCGTTGGCTGCTGTGGCCTGTCAGAAAGGAATGCCTTCTCCCGTCCCTGTTCTAACCCGAAACCCTAAACCCGAAACCCGAAACCCTAAACCTATGCCTATCACCCTAAACCCTGAACCCCAAGTCGTGTGGGCTTTAGGTCTCTCAGGCGGGGCAGCGGCCTGGTTAAGCCATGAAGCTGCTTCAAGTTCATGGGTAGTCGTAAGTAGAGGGTCGGGCTTCAGGTCTATGACCAGTTCAATGACAGAAAGAAACAAACCTAGACCCTTATCATAAGGAACCAGGAGGTAGGGCTTAATCCCAAAGAAGCCTTCATAAGCCCTACAAGGGCACCCCCCAACCCTAAACCCTGAACCGTCGAGTCGTGGTGCTAGGGTTTCGGGGCGGTTCCCTGCATCTCAAGAGGTGGCATTCGATTTGCATCACGGTCAAAGCGGTGCTCAGAGCGATTGAGCCCTCAATGGCCTAGGGTCTGGGGGGTTTAGGGTTTGGGGATGTTTGGGGTTTGGGGATGTTTCGGGTTTCGGGTTTAGGGTTTTGGGTTTAGGGTTGAGGGTCAAAGCCCCATAAACCCAAAGTGAGGCGGAAGGTTGCGAGGGCATCGTTGGCTGCGAAGCTTCAACAAAGCTTGCCAGCTTCTTTCAGCGAGTCTGGTGGGCTTGAAGACAAAGGCGGGCCTGGGCTCGGAAAAGGGTTTTAGGGTTCAGGGTTCAGGGTTCAGGGTTTAGGGGTTTAGGGGTTTAGGGGTTTAGGGTTTGTGTAACGCGGCGTGAGGCTGCTGCGCAGGGTGTGGAGTTCCATTCTCCCTCAACCCGAGGGTTTGGGGCTTATAGGGTTTAGGGTTTGGGGTTTAGGGTTTAGGGTTTGGGGTTTGGGGTTTAGGGTTTACAGGATTTAGGGTTTGGGGTTTCGGGTTTATAGGCTTTAGGGCTTGAGGGATTGACTAGGGAGGTGAGGAACATGGTTATGCGGCTATGTTTAGGAAGCATGCCACGGGCTTTGTCTCGTTCCAAGGCAACCTCCCGTCCAAGAAGCGCAGCAGCAAGGTGCACTTTCGCAGACTTTTTCTTGTTGGGGCGTGGCTCTTTAGTGGAGACTTAAGGCTATGACTGTCATAGGGAGTCGGGGAATGTAGGGTCCCGATCCCTTACATAAGTGGGGAAAGCACCGGATTCTCTCATTCCCTATGAAGAACCGATAAGTCACACGACAGACCCAGGCAAGAGGCCCTAAACCCTAAACTCTTAACCCTAAACCACGACTTCGGAGGTTTGGTTCTATGGTTTCGGGTGCTTAGGGGGCCGAGGATGACCAGTGCTGAGGCATTCGAGGGTTTAGGGTGAAGAGCCTTGCGGCTTTGGGGTTCTTCTTTTTGAACCCTAACCCCTAACCCCTAAACCCTAAACCCTAAACCCTACACCCTAAACCCTAAACCCTGTTGTTGGTTCTTTTGAAAACTGGAGGTTCTTTAGGGTGACTTAGGGGGAGTTTGAGGTTGAGGGTTGAAGAATACGAGATACTCTTGCCGGTGGCAGCCCCAAGCCTCTTTGATTTAGGGTTTAGGGTGTAGGATTTAGGGCTTAGGGTTTAGATTTTAGCGTTTATAGGGTTTAGGGTTTAGGGTTTAGGTATTCATGCAATTCTGCGCCACGCGTGCGCGCCGACACACATCTGTACAGATACACACATGCGCAGTTGTTATATGTACATACATCTGTGCTTTTCGTCAAGTTTGTAATTGTCTTGGTATAATACTGCACGAAAACACAACCCTAAACCCTAAACCCTAAACCCTAAACCCTAAACCCTAAACCCTAAACCCTAAACCCTAAAACAACAAAAAAACATCCTAAAGCCCGCAAGTGACCCCAGCGACCGCAGGAAGCGCGCGACGCCCTGCGCCAGCGCTGCAGCCGGGGACCCCCAATTCTGGGACCCTAAACCCTAAACCCTAAACCCTAAACCCTAAACCCTAAACCCTAAACCCTAAACTTGCGGAAGGGCTCATCTTCGGGAGCACTTGGGGCTTCTTGTGGGTTTGGGGTTTCGGGTTGAGGGAACAGCCCAGATGCAAAAAGACCCTAAATCCCAAACCATAAACCATGGTTTAGGGTTTAGGGTTTAGGGTTTAGTGTTTAGGGTTTAGTGTTTAGGGCTTAGGGGTCACATTGGTTCAGGCTTAGGGCTCGGGATTTCGGGTTGTTCATACATAGCTGTATGTGTGGAAGTGGTTTTTCAAGTGCACTAGTAGAAGCAAAACCAGAAAACCTGCTCTACCGTTCACTAAATCAATGTTGTTAGTCATCCATCGGAAACATTTCATGCACCATGTTTGTTCAAGCACGAGTATTTCAAAACAGAATACGCATTTACATATGTACGCATGTACGCATGCGTTAATCGTTTCCCATTATTTTCTATGTGTATAGCTCTTGATTTCAGCTGTTATTGAAGCGTTACGCATTTAGTCGTGCGCGTTTCTGTGTTTGATGTTAGTTCATTGACTCCCCTAAACCCTAAACCCTAAACCCTAAACCCTAAACCCTAAACCCTAAACCCTAAACCCTAAACCCTAAACCCTAAACCCTAAACCCTAAACTATATGGCTGCAGAATAGGAGCTGCATGTATGAAGCGGGGTGTGGGTATAGCTCTGGAGCAAACCCAACTTAACCGGTCGGCGTGAGGGATGTTGTTGAGGGTTCTGGGTTTTTGAGGCATTGTTCAGGTTTTAGGGTTTAGGGTTTAGGGTTGGTTTTGCTTTTGTTGTTTTTGTTGTTGGTTGCTTTGGGTGTACTGGCACTGTTGAGATGTAGCGTTTAGGATTTCAGCCAGGTGGTACATGGCACGATTCTTCTCATTTAGGATAGCCAGCTCCTGCTTCCTCTACTAGGGGGTTTAGGGTTCAGGGTTCAGGGTTTAGGGTTAGGGTTTACGGTTTAGGGTTTAGGGTTTTAGGGGTTTAAGACTCGTACCACCAAGGTTGTACCGCTAAAGGTTTTCCTCCATTTGCTCCTAGTATGGCCCTGATATTCCTTTCGAGGATCTTCAAAAAAGGGTTCCCGAAGACCCAAGGGTTTAGGGTTTAGGGTTGAGGGTTTAGGGTTTAGGGTTTAGGGTTTAGGGTTTAGGGTTTAGGGTTTAGGGTACCTCAAGGGTCCAAGGTGGAATCCCTAGAGTTTAGCCCCCAGGGTGGCCGATTCTTGTGGCATGGGTAGACAGGGCCGAAGACTTTATTGCTTTGAAAACACAGCCCTAAACCCTAAACCCTAAACCCTAAACCCTAAACCCTAAACACTAAACCCTAAACCCTAAACCCTAAACCCTAAACCCTAAACCCTAAACCCTAAACCCTAAACCCTAAACCCTGGACAAGACCCCCTTTCCCTCACTAGCAACTTCAGTGTTCCTAGCTTAACTTGCTTCGCCCCACCTTGAAGCCGAAGTCTCCAACCTACCCTAGACTGATTCGGGTTTAGGGTTTCGGGTTCAGGGTAGATGCGAAAGGGTTTAGGTTTTAGGGTTTAGGGTTTAAGGTTCTGGAACACCGTGGCAGGCGTCACCCACATGTTCGCCTTGCTCCGCAAAGAGGGCTACATGGCTGGAGCCTCGTGGTTCTTTCTCTGCCAGGGATACTCAGCTCGTTTCCACGAAACCTGCACCAGTGTGGCGCGAGGCTGCCAGGCCCTAAACCCTAAACCCTAAGCCCCAACAGACTGAAACACAGGTTTCCAGTAGAATCGAGTACTGTCGAGACCTGCAAACATTCAAAACTTGAAGGCAATGGTCCCGAATGCAAAAAGAGATAAGATCCCTGAACCTCAAAACAAAAGACCTAAACCTTGAACCCTAAACCCCAAACCCCAAACCCCAAACCCTAAACCCTAAGCCCCGAACCCCGAAACCCTAAACCCTAAACCCTGCAACCCTGCAACCCTGAAACGCTAACCCTACACCCAAGCTGCTCTTGCGAGTCGAAGTAGGGCTGGCAAGAAGTTGAGATCGGCAGCCTTTGTAGTTTTTTTTTGTTTATCTTTTTTTTTTTTGGGGGGGGGGGGGGGTTAGGGTTTAGGGTTTAGGGTTTAGGGTCTAGGGTCTAGGGTTTAGGGTTTAGGGTTTAGGGTTTAGGGTTTAGGGGCGCGGTTTAGCATCGTCCTTTTCGATGTGGTGCAGGGTTTGGGAATTTGGGCCTCCGAAAAGTTTAAGCTTCTGAGTTCCCCGAGGAAGCTGGGCCAGTAGGTATCCTTGAGCCCTGAACCCTAAACCCTAAACCTAAACCCTAAACCCTAAACCCCAAACCCTAACCCGAAACCCTCAACCCTCAACCCTCAACCCTCAACCCTCAACTCTTCGCTTCCCGATGTGCTTCAGCATCAAGTCCGGCACGGGGTTTGGACAGACACACCGGGGCCATCTGGAACCAACATAAGCTAGACACCCTGCTGGCCTAAACCCTCAACCCGCAACCCTCAACCCTAAGCCCTAAGCCCTAAGCCCCAAACCCTAAACCCTAGCCCTAAGCCCTAAACCCTAAGCCCTACCCAAAACATCGGCCCAAACCTGGCGCAAGAACCTCAGCTGCAGGTGAGCTCCCTGAGCCAACCCTCAGCCCTCGACCCTAAGCGCTAAACCCCAAACCCTTACCCCTAAACCCTAAACCCTAAACCCTAAACCCTAAACCCTAAACCCTTAACCTTAATCGCTAATCGATGCATGGGAACACTTCCTTTTGCCGTGCTTTGATGTGCTGGCGTCACACCCAAGGCTTCGAGCTGGTTCTTAGTAGGGAATGAGGGAATTAGGGTTTAGGGTTTAGGGTTTAGGGTTTAGGGTTCGGGTTTAGGGTTTAGGGTTTAGGGTTTAGGGTCCCTTCAAAGGTCTGGGCCCTAATGCCCTCCTTGCCTGCTAAGAACCAGCGCGGGGGGGTGGGGGGGGGGGGGGGCCGGGGGGCCCGGGGGGCCGGGGGGCCCGGCCAGGGGGGGGGGGGGGCCGGGGGGACGACGCAATTTGGAGGTACTTGAGAGAGTACTCGTTGAATAGGGTTTAGGTTAGTGTTTGGGGGGGGAGTTCGAAGTTCATGGTCTTGACCTCGTAAAAGGTTGATAGTTAAAGGGCTGCTCACGTTCAACCCTGAACCGAAACCCTAATCCCTAAACCCTAAACCCTAAACCGCAAACCCTAAACCCCTAAAGGACAGGTGCAAGAGGCCATGGGTTTGAGGACATGCTCAAGCAATGGGCCTCATCAGAGGCCAGCGAGGGTTAGAACAGAAACGAGCCTGTACACTAAGACCCAAAATCCTAAATCCGAAATCCTCCTTAAACCCTGAATCCTAAATTCCCCCCTCCCCGCACCATACACCCCATTGTGAATACAGCCAGCTGTCCGCTGTCAGCCTCTCCACCAGAGTTGGGGGCCTGCATTTACAAGGGGAGCACCGATCCTTTCTATCAAGAACCCCAAACCATAAACCCCGAAACCAGCTACCAGCGTTCCGTTTAGGGGGGGGGGGGGTTGATTGTCACCCTCCGCACCCTCTGCATACCTCTTGACTCTCCCCCCGAACCCTAAACCCCCAAATGCAAGGCTTCCGACCAAAGGTCCCTAGTACCCCCCCCCCCCCCGAGCCCGCCCTCGCTTAAGAGCCTGATAATCTTCTGCGCCTGCACGTCTGGAAACTCTGCTTGGCTCAAGCTTGCTCCTGGACCCTTAAGGTTCTAAAAGCCCTAAGCACCCCAAAACCCTAAAAGCCCGACACCCCGAAACCCGAAAAACCCTAACAAGCTTCTGGGTTTAGGTTTCGGTTTGGGGCTGCCTGGCCAGTCGAAACGAGGAGCTAAGCCTTGATCTTCTTATGGCCAACACACGCGTGTAGGGTTTAGGGTGTAGGTTTCTAGGACAATTTCATTGCCGTGCAAAGTTCCCCTGGCAAAGGGCTTATCTATACATAAATATATTAAGAAGATATATATGTATATATATATATATATATATGAATGCACATGTACATGTGTGATTTACGTCTGAAGACTCGTTTATGCAAGCCCATATAAATAGCAGCTCCTGACCGCAAACTGTCTTTGTTTTCCAGGGCTTACCCAAGAATTGAGTCCTTAAGGGTTCTAGTAGCCTAACCATTAGATCCCTGAAAGTGCCCTAAACCCTAAACACTACACCCTAAACCCTAAATCCCAAACCCTAAACCCTAAACCCTAAACCCTAAACCTCTCTTACTATATATATTTAAACCCTATACACCTTCGTGGCTAAGGGTCATTTCTTCGTGGCTAAGGGTCATTTCTTCGTGGCTAAGGGTCATTTCTTCGTGGCTAAGGGTCATTTCTTCGTGGCTAAGGGTCATTTCTTCGTGGCTAAGGGTCATTTCTTCGTGGCTAAGGGTCATTTCTTCGTGGCATTTCTTCGGGCTAAGGGTCATTTCTTCGTGGCTAAGGGTCATTTCTTCGTGGCTAAGGGTCATTTCCTTCGTGGCTAAGGGTCATTTCTTCGTGGCTAAGGGTCATTTCTTCGTGGCTAAGGGTCATTTCTTCGTGGCTAAGGGTCATTTCTTCGTGGCTAAGGGTCATTTCTTCGTGGCTAAGGGTCATTTCTTCTAAAGGGTCATTCCTTCGTGGCTAAGGGTCATTTCTTCCCCCCCCGGGCCCCCCCCCTGCCCCCCCCCCCCCCCCCCCCCGGCCCCCCCCCCTCGCCTTTTTCTGGCGGGTGGGTAGGATGGCCCATGACAGAGTGAGGTTGGAGGACAGGGCTTGCTGATGAAAAATGTAAACTTTATATTTCTGAATGTTTTGGGATTCTCTGGGTGGGTGGGTTTTTTTCGAGAGCCCGAACAGCGGCTCTACTGGAGATTGCTCGACCAGGAGCTGCTGAACCCTAAACCCTAAACCCTAAACCCTAAACCCTAAACCCTAAACCCTAAACCCTAAACCCTAAACCCTGGCCCTAAACCCTAAACCCTAAACCCTAAACCCTAAACCCTAAACCCTAGACAGATAGGGGGCCTGACCAATCTGGATGAAAGTCCTGCGGCTCGGAGACAAGTACATCCAGCACGTGCTGAAGCTGGCAGCCTGGTCAGTTTTTAAGCAAGTATGTTCGGTTTAGGGCTTAGGGTTTAGTATTTAAGGGTTAAGGGTTTGGGTTTCAGGGTTTAGGGTTTAGGGTTTAGGGTGATGTAAACTTAACCTTCACCTAAAACCTACTTTCGTTGGTAGATTATTTCTGTATCCCACCCACCCCATAGGAGTCTTAGGAGTAGTGGGGAGTATTAGGGGCCCGAATCCCCAAACACTCCCTTAAGAAAACCATAATTTCGGGTGTGGGGTTTTGGGGGGCCACCTCCCTTAAGATCCCTAAACCCTAAACCCTAAACCCTAAACCCTATAAAGAAGACGGGCAGCTGAGGTCTCCCACAGAGACTACCGGTTCTCCAAGGAGACGTGCGTGGTCACGGGCATCTTGGGGACCAAATGAGCGCCAAAAAGGGCTTATGGTCCCTACACCTGAGTAGGGATTGTAGTAGTAGAGGGTATACGACCCCTAAACCCGAAACCCTAAACCCCAAACCCTAAACCCTAAACCCTGAACCCTAAACCCTAAACCCTACACCTAAACCCGAAACCCTAAACCCCAATTTCGGTATTCATTTGGTCCTCAAGGTACAAAGCTCGTCCGAGACCTCGGCAAGCAGTATCGATTCAAGGAGATCCTTGCCAGCAAGCCGGACCATCCAGATCTTGCGAAGCTGAACTACGATGAGCTCCTGAGACCTGTATCTGGCGGTTTAGGGGTTTAGGGGATTTAGGGTTTAGGGTTTAGGGTTTAGGGTTTAGGGTTTAGGGTTTAGGGCCCCCTTGCGATTTTGACGATGGAGAAGTACGAAGCGCGGGCTTCCTTCATGAAGGCAGAAGAATCAAAGGGTACCTTTGGTCCTTTTGGCATCCTGTTTAGCTTAGGCTGCACTTGACTGAGCCTCGGATCTTGCGCAAGATCGCTGAGCTGGAGGAGTTCGATGGCCTGATCGGGACGTTGACGCTGCCTTCCCGACGTCCCATCAAGGAGATCACACATCCTCGCCTGCTGCTGCTTGCATGAGCTGCGGTTTCGGGTTCAGGGTTAGGGTTTAGGCTTCCCTGTCAGGACATCATAGCCCGGATGCAATAAAGGGTTTAGGGTGCATGTGCCTTCAAGACCAACAAACCGGCGTGGCAACACTTTTCTAGTTTCGAATCCCACACCCTAGTGTTTCTTTGAGAACCACCGCCAATACAAGGGCATTTGTTTGGAAAAGGTAGTCTCATAATGCACTACTAGGGCCCAGAGTAGGCCCTCAATCCCTGTCGCTTAGGGTCTCGGCCCTTACAACAAGCCCCCGTGAAACAAATGCACCCTTTTTTTCCTCTTCACTCTTGCCCCCTAAAACCACAAACCCCAAAAAACCCTGAAACCCCGAACCCACAAGAACAGGCCCCTCTCGGGTTTGGATGAGGGCCTCCTCTTCTTTTTGTTTTTTCAGGACATTTCAGGACCTGGAGAACCCAATGCCCACTTCTTTGTAGGTTACCTAAGAATTGTCTAATGGGTTTCAATATAGGTGTTGGGTTCTTAAGGTAAGTGTATCGGAATTGTATAGGGTAAGTGTATCGGAATTGTATAGGGTCTGGGTCCGCAGTGTTGGGGCGGGTATTGACGTTTTGTGTGGGGTTTTGTGTGGTTTCTCGTTTTGCTTTTTGCTGAAAAACACCGGTTTTTTCATCCTTGGTACAAGATCAAACATGCCCAAGATTGGCCACTTTATTGCTGAAACACGCTGGCTTGTTCATCTTTTTTGCGGCACTGACATTTGGCTCCTCTTTGGAATGGAACATGGTGCTTGGTGAAGCCATGAATGTTGTTCAGGAAAAGGGCGTTTTTTTTTGTTTTTTTTATATTTTCTAGGTGGGAAACGAAGGTCGGTTCGGAAACGAGGGTTTTGGAAACGAAGCTCCGTGTGGAAACGAAGGTTCAAATCAGCGAACATCTCATGTTTTGACCGTGTGCGAAGGCTCAAAGTGTGACCCTAAACCCTAAGCCTAAACCCTAAACCCTCAACCCTGTCTGGTATCACCCGGCCGATCTTAGCCATATGTGCTGAGGGGCCTCTGTCAGGACTCTGGAACAGTGTGTGCCTCGCCTGGCTTGTCCGAGTGTGAGCGATTAAACCCTAAACCCCATGTTCCAGGTTCGAAATGGTCACATATCACAAAAATTGGTTTTTTGGGAGGTCCGCAAGCCCGCCGGGGTTGAACAAAACCAGCGAAACTCCCTACGTGTTGGCTCTAGGTTGGGGGAATCATTTTGTGTTTTTTTCCGGCCTTTGTGGGCCGGGGTGCGTGCTGAGGTCATTGCTGTGTTTCTCTTTCTGCACTGGTTTGGGGTTTAGGGTTTAGGGACACCCTCTAAACAAACCATTTGCTTAAGAACCCCCCCAAAAACAAAAAAATAGTAATCCCTTTATTGCCCTTATAAGGAAGAATATATATATATATGTATATTTATTATGTATGTATTTATTTATTTATTTATGTTTTTTGTTTATGTGGGGTTCATTGGCAAATAGTAGAAACCTAACCCGACGATTTCAGGCTCTGCTTGGACTACATCGAAGATCCCGGCCTGCTGGGCACTCTCCTGCGCACGGCGGTGTCGTTCCAGTGGCCGCTGGGCTTCCACCAGGAGTTCGTGACGTGTGGGGGGGGGGGGGGGGGGGTGTTAATGTTTAACCCTAAACCCTAAACTCTAAACCCTAACCCCTAACCCCTAACCCCTTACCCCTAAACCCTAAACCCTAAACCCTAAACCCTAAACCCTAAACCCTAAACCCTAAACCCTAAACCTGACTCAAGGGGAGAGACTGGGTTGTTCGAAAGGGTTTTTGGGTTTCAGGGTTTTCGGGTCGAGGGTATCAAAAGCCCTAAACCCTGAACCCTGGGCTCCAAAAAGGTTCAGGGCAGAAGTTAGGGCATGTTAAATCCCTTCGGCCCAAAATTGCTTGCCAGGAATATGTATATATACATATATATATATATATATGCATAAATATATATATATATATACATATATATGAATCAATAAAAAGATATCTATATGTATATATACATACAAATACATAAACACGCATCTGCTTTCTTTATTTACGTACTGATACCCCACCTCTTTATGTATGTATATATACCTATATGTCTATGTATGTCTATATGTATATGTGGTTTAGAATTCATATATATATATATATAGGTATATATATATATATATATATTTGTTTCTATATACAGAGAGAGAGAGAGGGAGAAAGCTGTATTCCAGGGTATAAGAGGAGCTAGATCGGCTAGTACGCGTGGCGTCCGTGGCCGGTGCGCGCAGGGTTTTTCTCGACGCTGGCTCGCATCTCGCCTCGGTGCGTGGCCGCCCTCGCCATCTTAGAATTCTGTCACTTTTGGACTCCCAGGGGGTTTAGGGTTTAGGGTTTAGGGATTAGGGTTTAGGGTTTAGGGTTTAGGGGCCCGCGAAACGCAAAGCCGACGTCGCTTTGGGACGTCTGGCGGCTCACGAAATGCGAAACCGTCGTCGCTTTGGACTTTTGGACTCGCATTGTCTCTCATTACTTCGGGCCTACGCTGGCACGCTAAATAGGCATGAAGTTAGGATGCAGCTTCTAGGAGATATCAGGATGTGGCTATTTGGCCCAGTTTTGGCCCTATAGGTATAATAGCCCGTCCTGGTACATGGAATCCAGGCAAGCCGTGTTCTTCCTGCCGCAATGCGTGGACCCTTTCAGCAGCCGATGCCTGCGTGCCTCACAGGGGGCCTTGTCGCTTAGCTTCGTTGGCCAGGAGACTTTGGGCGCAAACCTACAAGAAAACATGGTAAAGCCTGAGCCCTAAATAAGGTGGTACTTCGCACCCCATGTATACCGTACTTATAACACGCTCTGACGACTTGGGGGGCATTATAAGCACAGTTATGACTGGTGTTATAAGTGCCCAAACCCCAAACCCCAAACCCCAAAACCCCAAACCCCAAACCCCAAAACCCCAAACCCCAAACCCCAAACCCTAAACCCTAAACCCAAAACCCTGTGCTCGGAAGCTGGGGGGCGCCGGTCTCTAGAGTGTAGGCCTGGCGTTTGGTGGTCGGGTAGGTGGCATTTGTCCCTGAACCCTAAACCCTAAACCCTACACCCTATACCCTATATACACCCTGCACCCTCTGACCCCTAAACTCACCTGGGAAGCGTTTGGGTTTCGGGCTCATCCACATGGTTGGGGGCTGCTAACCCTATCCTCTCAGCTGCTAAACAGACTGAGATATTCCTATACAGTGCAGTAAAATCATTATGTTATAGTGGAGTATGTACAGAAGATACTGTAAGTATAATTCATATATATATATACATTATATGTGTATATACATACTACGTATGTATATACATATATATAATATAATATCTTCATTGCAGGGCTTTGTGGCGCAGATTCGGAAGGGTTATGGCTGAGCCAAGGTTCAACATCCCTCACTGCAAAGGGAACATGGACGACCTGCACAAGCTTTGTCGCCGCGCGCAGCTCACTCTGACTGTTCCCCATCCCTATGGCGTGGACGTGGGCACTTCGCCTTTCAGCAATGCCGGTAACAGGGTTCGAGGGTAAGAGGTGCAAGGGCTACTAAAGTAGAACCCCCAAAACAGTAATGTCCCCAATTATACTACTATTGGGTCATTTTCAGGAACCCTTAAGGGGATCTGCTTTTTGGATCCTCCCACAGGGGTCTGGTTTGGGAGGTTCATGGGCCCTGATAACCACATTTTGTAAGAATTTAACTCGAAGGGGAGTTGCATGGCCCCTGAATATGGTTCCTTACCTTCTTGAAGGGTTCGGAAGTGTGGGCCCTTTGGTTTTATAGGGTCTACAAGGCGTGCATAAAGCGTTCCCCCAATTAAGGGCCCATATTGAGGGACCATGTAACTACCCCAAACCCTAAACCCTAAACCCTAAACCATAAACCCTCAACCCTAAACCCTAAACCCAAACTAAGACAAAACACACACAAGAAAAGCATGCAGAGGCAGCGATGCCTACGAGCCACCAAAGGGTCAGGCACTGCTGCTGCGCGAGGAGCATCTGAGCTGGCAAGGGGCATGTTGTCCTTGGTTTAGGGTTTAGGGTTTAGGGTTTAGGGTTTAGGGTTTAGGGTTTGGGGTTTGGGGTTTGGGGTTTAGGGTTTAGGGTTTAGGGTCGCCTTCTTTGGGATTCTAGTATGTGAGGGTTTACGGAAATAAGGCACCCCTGATATGGACCCCCAAGTAGTAGGATTTGTACAGGATTCTCTATCATAAGGACCCCGATAAGGTACCCCCAGTTTCGGAACCCCCCCATATATGTAATTATAGGTATGTAAATATAAATTGTGCCCCGACTGTTTAAGTACGACCATGTCCTCTTTCAACAGTTGTCTTCGTTTGTTTCTCCAGTTGCTGATCTCATCATGCATCCCCTATAGGGGGTTGAGGGTTCAGGGTTTTCGGGTTTCGGGTTTCGGGTTTAGGGTTTAGGGTTTAGGGTCCTAAACCCTAAACCCTAAACCTTAGACCAGGTACACGACGCCATGGGCTCCTCCACGCGAGGCGCTGAAGATCAAGGTTCCTGTATCTGGGCCTACTGGAGTACGGGTTTAGGGTTTAGGGTTTAGGGTTTAGGGCTTCTGGGACCCAGAGTAGGCCCTTGTTCGAATGTTTTTGAGGTTTGGGTTCCCTTGTAGGCCCCGTTAAGCCTAGGTTACTCTTGGGTCTAGATGTTGTAGGATTCGTTCAAAGGGCTCAACACTAAGAACCTAAAACGGCTTTGGTTTCTCAAGGTAGAGATTGGCAGTTCGGCCTTGTGACTTGCGAATACCAGGATCCATGGCGAGGTCATCCGAGAGGCACCCCCGACGGTGAGGAGTTCGACTTCCGTGCCCTGGACGTGGCAATCCAGGCCATTTCTTCGAAGGTTATTTAGGGTTTAGGGTTTAGGGTTTAGGGTTTAGGGTTTAGGGTTTAGGGTTTAGGGTTTAGGGTTTAGGGTTTAGGGAGCCCAGTGGTTTCTTTTGCCCTTTCTAGGTTCCCTCCTCATGGAGCCAACCCCAAAGAGGCGCCCAGGTCTCTTTGATGGTTCAGGGTTGTGGGATGGGTCGCAGTAGGGGCCACGGTCCTTGGGTTTAGGGTTTAGGGTTTATAGGGTTTAGGGTTTAGGGTTTAGGGTTTAGGGTTTCCTGCTCCCTGGAAACATCAAACATACAGTGCGTCCTGTTCCGCTGTAAATACCGGCGTTGTGGGCAGGGTTACAGGAACATGGTCGTAACAACCCCCCCCCCCCCAAGATCCGCAAAGCACCCCGAAGCACCTGAAAACAAGCAAAGCTCGCGTGTCAATTGGTAGTGCGTGAGTTTAAACCCTAAAACCCTAAGACCCCAAAAACACTTATTACCCTAGCACCCTAAAACCTCCAAAACCCCCAAAACGCCCAAAACCTTAAACCCGAACACCCTAAAACCCTAAAAACCCCAAAGCCTGAACCCTTAAACCCTAACAGAAAAACTAAGAATAACCCCCCGACCATACAGGGTGGGATCCCCATGCACCACATCACCCTTAAAACCCTTTAACCCCAGCACCTAAATACCCCTAAAACCCGAATCCCTGGACCCCAAACAGGATCCTCTCATACATCAACCCCAAAACCCAAACCCTAAACCCTAAACCCTAAAACCCTAGAACCCGAACCTCTGGACCCCGCAGGGTGGGATCTCCATGCACCACATCAACCCTGCCTAAACCCTAAACCCTAGACCCTAAACCCTAAACCCTAAACCCTAAAACCCTAACCTCTGGACCCCACAGGGTGGGATCAACCCTAGTCCCTAAACCCTAAACCCTAAACCCTAAACCCTAAACCCTAAACCCTAAACCCTAAACCCTAAACCCTAAACCCTCCTGAAGCAGGGTGGGATCCTCATGCACCACATCAAGCATGAGCACTTCCCCGAGGTGTCGCGGACGCCCTTTCTGGCCTCGCCAAGGGCGTAGCTCGGAGGTCTGAGGAAAACCGATGCATAGTTCTGGGGAGTAGGGTTTAGGGTTTAGGGTTTAGGGTTTAGGGTTTAGGGTTTTTAGGGTTTTTAGCAGTGGGGTTGGTTGGCACTGAGACTTAGAGTTTAGGGTCTAGGTCGGAGCCCTGTGCAGGTCCGCCCTCCTGTTCCTGCTTGGCTGCTTGGCCCTGCATCGCATCCGAGAGCCACAAACTGCCCGCGGCTGACCCCTGCTCAAGCAGAAGCTGAAGAACATGACGGGGTGCTGCTCTTGGGTTTGGGACCCTAAACCCTAAACCCTAAGCCCTACCCGAAACCCGAAACCCGAAACCCGAAACCCGAAACCCGAAACCCGAAACCGACCCGTAGGGCAGCAAGAGACACAGAGGCGAAGGGCAAGAGGCCCCGAACCCTAGATCCGGCTTCTGGAAATTCCGGCCCTTTGCATCGTGTGGCGCGCCTTGAGCTGGCTCGGACCGAAGAAAAAAGGCGGCCTTGGAGTGTCAAGGGTTTAGGGTTTGGGGTTTTTTAGGGTTTAGGGTTTAGGGTTTCGGGTTTAAGGTATAGGGTAAAGGACTCTAAAGGTTGGCGTCCAGAAAGGCCAGAGGCCCAAAACACACTGCAGAAACCAAAGTTTCGAGGGCCCTGCACCACGTAACGGGCCTTGGGAGGTGTTCGCAGACGCTGGCTGGCTTTCTCGTTGGTGCCTCAGCGTTGAGAAACATCCGCGCCCGGCAAGGCCACGTACCCTAAGCCCTAAACCCTAAACCCTAAACCCTAAACCCTAAACCCTAAACCCTAAACCCTAAACCCTAAACCCTAAACCCTAAACCCTAAACCCTAAACCCTAAACCCTAAACCCTAAACCCTATCTGAAAGACCTTATACCTGGTCAATATAATGTGCCCACCCCTTGCCCGCCCCAACACTCACAAGTAGAGTGTGCGGTGGGGTAAGGACGCACGCCGGCAAGGCGCCTTAAGGGCTGCAGCTCACTACGCGCTCCCCCCACTCCAACACGCAGGGATGGAGTGCTTCCCCGCTGCAGCTCCCCCCAACCTGTCGACTAGGCCGTCGGGCTTGAGCCACCGCACCGACTGTTAGGCGCCCAGCCATCCCTGTTAATAGCACGCTGCTGTAGCTGCCACGCCTCTTGCGCCGCCCACAGCCCTAGCATGCCCCGTGCCGCCCAAGACCAGCAACCACCAAGCAACCTAAGTGACACCACCCATGGCCAAGCCGCCCCAGAGTCCAGACCACCCCCCATAGCATCTCCATAGCATCTCGTGCCTTTGGTCCAGGCAGCCCCCCAGTTCCCGGCAACCCCCAAGAATGCTCCATCACCAGGCCCTGCAGCTGCAAGCTTCTTGAGTCCCGGCCACCTTCCACGAAGTCACGCAGCAAGCGTGAGTTTGGGCGTCATAACCTCTGAAAGACCTTATACCTGGTCAATATAATGTGCCCACCCCTTGCCCGCCCCAACACTCACAAGTAGAGTGTGCGGTGGGGTAAGGACGCACGCCGGCAAGGCGCCTTAAGGGCTGCAGCTCACTACGCGCCCTAAACCCTAAACCCTGCATGAGCCCTAAACCCCTTCGACTGGTGAGTCCTCACCACCCAAAAAAAACCCTGACCCCAACTCCCTAAACCCGATCAATGCCCAAAATCCCTCAGCCCTACCCCTAAGCCCTAAATTTGAAACATCTTTAAACCCTAAACCCCATAATCCCAAGCTCCTAAACCCCGAATGTCCCAAACGAGAAAACGAGGCCAGGAACCCCCAACGGGCGCGTAAGCCTCCCAGTCTTGTCAAGACACCACGAGCCCACGAAGCTTTGTTCTCTCCATTTCGAAAGGTTAGGGTTTAGGGTTTATAGGGTTTAGGGTTTAGGGTCTAGGATTTAGGGTTTTGGGTTCAGGCGGCACTTTCAATTCCCGTAGGAATTAAGAACCTTTTTCCCAAGAAAACACGGCCCCAGAAAGCTCGGAGTGCTTGTTTAACCCTAAACCCTAAACCCTAAACCCCAAACCCTAAACCCTAAACCCTAAACCCTAAGCTTCCCAAAGGTCCTAGCGCAGTCACACCATGGTCCCCAGAAGGCCGGACCATCATGCGGGGGGGGGGGGGGTAACGGTTTAGGGTTTAGGGTTTAGGGTTTAGGGTTTAGGGTTTAGGGTTTAGGGTTTAGGGTTTCAGGGTTTGCCCTGAACCCCGAAACCCTAAACCTTAAACCCAAAACTTGACTGGTTCGAGGGCAAGAGGCTGTGGGTGTTGAGAGACCACGCTCGGCCAACTTGCCCCAAATTCAACATAGCAAGCGTTTAAACCTAAACCTGAGAAAGGTTTAGGGTTCAGGGTTCAGGGTTCAGGGTTTAGGGTTTAGGGTTTAGGGTTTAGGGTTTAGGGTTGCGGGCCGGGTTGGGGCTTCAAAGGTTGATGGCTCTGGGCTGGCAGAAGTGCTTGTCACAAGCCTACAGCCTGACACCTTTAGAAGCCGTGTCATGTGGGTTTAGGGTTTAGGGTTTAGGGGTGCTACCATTTGCTTAACTTAGTAGTGGAGTATGCAACCTTGAACCTTTTTGGGGGCTGATAACCCGTATATAAGCCCAAAGGTTAACCTTTAGTCCCCCTAGGATACTGGGCAACTAAGTTGAGAACCCCCTGACAATCCAAGATCGTCATCCCCATGTTACCGTTGCAACTGATAAGGAAGAATACATATGTTTTTTGGGGTTCTTAAGCAAATAATAGTGTGGGAGCCGAACAGGTAACAGCAACAAAAGGCATGGAAGCAGGTCTAGGCTGAACAAGGGCTAACCCAACACCCGAACTGTTTCAAAGGCCCGCGCCCGTAGAATAAAGCCCCATAGTCATCCCAAAGCCCAAACTGTTTAAAGCCCTAAACCCTTGCAAGCCCCCTAAACCCTAAGCCTCCAAACCTGAGTATCCCTAAACCCTGAACCCCAAAAAAAAAACCGTCAGGTATTTTACGGGGCTTGGGGTGCAGGACCTAAGGTCCGAGAGGCCCATCTGGTATGGTCTGGCCCCTGTGTGGGTTTACAGTAGGGTGTAGGGTTTCGGGTTTAAGGTTTAGGGTTTAGGGTTTAGGGTTTAGGGTCCCTTCAGATGGGCCCAGACGATTTAGGGTAGCCAAGATACAGGCTAAACAGGCTAGCCAAGAAGAGGCCCGTAAACTCTTGAAACAAGGGGACTGCATGCCCCCCCCAAGCCCGAAGCCCGCAGCACAGACATGTGACTGGCTTTGCTAGAGGATCGAGTGAACCAAAATTGGGGTGAAAGACCCTCTACGATTGTAATTTCTGGTAAGGTATGTTGACGATATGCCCTGAACCCCATTAAGCCCTAACTCCTAATTAAACCCGATACTTTAAACCCTAAACCCTAAACCCTAAGCCCTGAACCCTAAACCCTACTCCTTTAGTTAAGTCCCTTATGTGGGCTATATGAACCTTGTAGGGTTCAATTCGTCCTCAAGCAGGTCTGCGATTTTCAAGAGATTCAGCTAAGCCCTCACTTAGGTTTTGGGTTTTAGGTTTTAGGTTTTAGGTTTTAGGGTTTAGGGTTTAGGGTTTAGGGTTTAGGGTTTAGGGACAGGATTCCTTGGATCAACTTGGATGTGTTGCACATGCGCAAAGTACCGACGTGTTCTTCTTTTGTTTCTTGCGGCGTTTCGTCTTGTGCGTCGATGTGTTCGCAGCAGGTTTCTCTTCTATCTCGTCGATGTGTTCAGCAGCAGGTTTCTCTTCTATCATGTGGTTCTGCTCGACTTACACCGGGCATTATGTTTTCCATTTTTGGTGCACTCAAACCTTTCTTCATGGCGTTCTTGGCATAGCACACGCAAGCCCTCAGTCTAAGTCTATTTGGCGGATCCGACCAGGTGCGTGCGCTAAGCGTGCGATGAAATGGGCATCCACCCCCTTTTGTCTCTGAGCAAAACGGCGTGCGGCAGTTCATCAAAGACCCTTGTGCTTGGAGGTTCAGGGTCTTGGAGTTTCAGAGTACTTAGTATCCCAATTCTAGCTGTACTTTAGGGTACTTAAGGGGCTTATAAGTGGGTTATAAGTACAGCCCTAACATCGGAGTCTGCCAGAAATGGTGCTAGCTGCTGTGCGCTCAGTGAGAGCTCCCATGCTTCGCGAAAACCTTTTAGGGTTCATTTGCGGGTTTACGAGAGAAGGGGACCCAAAATAGACCCCCCAAATAGTAAGATTCCCGTACAATAAGGGCCCCAATAAAGTACCCCTAGCTTTCGGAAACCACCGTCTGGTCCCCAAGGTCTAGGTAGTGTGTAGCGGCGCAGCGTTTAAGGCAACTAGGCTCATGCCAACACATAGGTAGACAGCGTGTATAGGCAGACTTCGAACTCAACAAAATTCCCCCAAAACCCTAAACCCTGAACCCTAAACCCTAACTAAACCCTAAACCCTGAACCCTAAACCCTACACCCTACACCCTACACCCTACACCCTACACCCTACACCCTACACCCTACACCCTACACCCTATCCAACAATTGTTCACGGAGGCTTCTCTTCACCATCCTCCTGGTCCTCCCCGCACTCGTGACGAGTCAGCAGGGCTATGCGCAGTTTACGGCGCCTTGGGCGCTGAGCAGGGTTTAGGGTTTAGGGTTTAGGGTTTAGGGTTTAGGGTTTAGGGTTTAGGGTTTAGGGTTTAGGGTTTAGGGTTTAGGGTTTAGGGTTTAGGGTTTAGGGTTTAGGGTTTAGGGTTTAGGGTTTAGGGTTTAGGGTTTAGCCTCCAGACTCCGTTGCTCACAGGGTTTAGGGTTCCCTGAACCCTATACCCTTTACCCTAAACCCTAAACCCCCCTAAACCCTAAACCTAACCCCTAACCTCGAACCCGGAAACCCTAAACACTAACCCCTAAACCCTAAACCTTAAACCCTAAACCCCACCCTTATTTAACCTCAAGTCCAGGAAAACTCCTCGGCCGTGAGCGAGGCGGCCGAGTT